TGATGATGATGATGATGATGATGATGATGATGATGATGATGATGATGATGATGATGATGATGATGATGATGATAAGTATATTGGATAGGTTTTTCATCAATCCCTCGTTATCACTGTAAGGGGATTTTGTTTTCGTTCGCCTCACTACGATGCAAATACAGATAAGTGCTGAGTTCAATTCAATTTGAATTTTTGGGTTTCCGGATTGAAAACCCATCCACAATGGCTACCGTGTTTGTCCCGTTTGTTAGACTGTTACTAGTAGAAGGAGTGGAGGTATTGTGACAAGAAGCAACAGTAACAGATGAATGTATCATCATCATCATCATCATCATCATCATCATCATCATCATCATCATCATCATCGTACAGCGAAACACGATGAGGCGAATTTCACTGATCGCTCCCAAGCTCCCAATGCATACGGATTTATGCACATACATTGTTTCAGATAGAGCTCCAACGTTGTCAGACTGTTTGTTGTATTAATGACCCAAATCGCTTGGATACCATATTTACTTTGGATCACAAATTAGCACAGGTGAGGTGGAGTGGGCTTTGCCTTGAGTGAACAGCATATTATGATTTAAATGCGGTGGAAATGTGTTGTGATAACTAACAAAGAGTACAAGACAGCTGTGTTCGTTCTGTTTGGGACTCGTCAGTAGTGCGTACACTTTTTGTGTCCCTGTCAGAACTCGAACCATGGACATGTGGGCATTGTTTTCTTGGTACCCGTGAAAAACTAAATCGGTCAATCTAAACATTGCCCATCTAAATCTTGTTATGAGGTTTACGATATTCCCTTCATCCTGATGAACCATGGTGAATACCATTCACAGTGCTTGTCGATTACATTTTTTGATAACCTGTATGTTTCTCACCTCAACAAAACACTAAATTATTTTGGATACACACCCCAGTGAAATATAATACCTTGGAGCACTCTTATCGACAACTTCGAGCAAAAAACTAGTTTCAGGTGTTCAGGTGGAACAAAACATGAGGGATACAAGAAGTGAATCATTGCAAAGCATCGCACAGTTGTTATAAACTTCTAAATCCATTGAATCAAACAACGGGCAAAGTGTGAATCTCTTCAGTACACCACCTGGTCACCCACTGGTCAACTCTTTAAGTGGTATAGAGTATTTCGTCTATATAGAAGGTCTCCTCATGTACAGAGCGAATACATCATGAACTAAACATTTCGGAAGTACTGGCCAGCTGTTTTGATTGGGATGAGTCTATTCAGTAGTGAGAATCCTTCTATAAAACTCAGGATCAAATCCAGCACGACTAAAGCAGAACGCAAGAACAATATCCGCGTAGCCACTAAAGGAAAGCTGATGAAGCCCAGTTTGATTTTGTTTGCATACGATGTAGCACAACCCGAGATCTTTTCCAGTTTGTTAGGGAGTAGTAGGGAGTAGGGAGTAGCTTATCCATCTCAGCACTCGCCTCTGATTCCGAACCTTACTAGATTTTTAGCACATAAAATGAGAAACTGTGCTCAAATAAGACGTAAACTGGGTTGGTGGACCACTGGCAGTTCACCTAGGGGAGTTGGCCAAAATTCCTGAGTTCAAACGAACCCAGAAGATGTGTACGAACCCCACCCACCCCACCTTTTCGGTTGTGGTAATGGTCAGCGGCTCCGTTGGGCATCAAGGAGTATTGGGCACGTTGACTCCGTTTGACCCCGTCCAAAGAGCGTATGATCCGATGAACTGGACACTGGCTCCCAATGAACTGCGGTTTTCTCGCCCCGCCTCGTCGCCTTGCAGGTCAGGCTTTGACCAGCCGAATGCTTCGGTTGTGTACTCCTCGGGAAAACCCACCTGCCTCGGCCTGGGCAACATGGTCGTATTTAGGCCATATGCAAATCAAGGAACCTTTTTTTTCTACTTCACAAAGATTATTGTAACATGATTTGTTTGGCACAAAATCTGGATTCAGACGGGTCTGAGACAGATATGTACTTAAGGTATTCATGGTAATTGGGATTGTGAAACCTAACGTGTGCAGACAACGGAATCAGGAGTAGGCGTTGTGTCTACCATAACCGCAAAATATCTTTCCCTCTGGCATGTACATACTGACATTTTTGTCCCACTCTCTCACTTTTATCATTCATTGTCGACTAACGCGTTCCAGTTACCCAGTGCCTTTCACGCATTTTTTTCACCCGAATTTCTCTATGCTCATTTACCATGACTTCATGGATTGTTGAAAACCGAATATTGTTCTTCACTATTACATATGATTTTCATTTTTTATTTTTATTAAATCTTGAAAGATACAATTTTCAGGAGGGAGGAGACGCTAGTCAAAGGTTTGCCATACAAAAAACAAACACTGGTTGATGAGATTTTAACACACTGCTTCCAACTTGCTAATTTGTTGACGTTACCACCGAGCCACAACCGGTATAGGAAGGAATCAGTTGTACTAATTCTGGAACTAATTCATTTTGGAAAACCAGACTTAACAGAAATTCCTAGTCACAAACAATCCCGACCCATGAATCTGGACATCTGAACAAAAAGTTCCAGCTGCCTGGCGCACCACTAATCACGCTGATCTTCGCCGTGACTTGCGTGATGGTACGCTGCACAGTCAGACTGTTCTCCCTATTTCTCTTTCTTTCGGACAGCAAATTGTCTACCTAGAATTCTCAGCAATTTACAACCGAATCGGATTCAATTCGGCTCCAGATGAACCGGACAAAACAGACGCATCTGCGGTTTGTTTTATAAATATCCAACAAAACTGTGATAAGTCAATAAAGAGCGATTATCACCAGCAGTGGTAACGCGGGATAAGGGGTCGTTTGTTAGCGTGTTCTGTCAGGGAAGCAAACAAACCGTTCATCAAACCATTTGAGAGTTCTCTTTGTGAATACCTATCTCAGATAAGACGATAACGGTTGGGGACTATTTTAATGCGGTCATCATTGACTGAGGCTTGAAAAGAGGCGAGAATTCGTTTATCCATTTCCCAATCACGACAGATGTTAATGGTTGCCACAAAATTGACGGAACGTAGAAGATTTGTCTGGGCAATTTATCATCAGTTGCTCGCATCTCACGGTATCAGATCCCCATTTTGGAACGAATGTAGAAATTTCACGTCGTGCTCATAGTGTTAGATATCTATAAGAATGCTTGGATTGGCCACATCGATAAAACCAGACAACAATTTTCGGTTGACGACGTTTTGACCTTCTTGGAAGGCCTTTTTGAAGTCAATTAACAAGCGAGCAATGAACAAAACTGTGAGAGAAACCGTATCAATTGAATATGCTTGTGATTGGTCTAGGGGAAGGAAAAATCGAATTGGTGTCTGTGTGTGTGTGCGGAAGTTGTGAATGAAATAAGAGGTCAAGGGACTACGGATGACGTCATGGATGTTGGCAGATTAGTCTGCGAACAGATTTGTGGTGTGGTGAGATTTATTATTGTTTCATTTGGGTAAATGGAGGATTTGGTTAAATTTCAGATGGGAATTTGTCGTGTATATAGCAAATGAAGCATAAACTGAAAAGCTCGGAAAAACTGGACAGCTGTTTCCACCTGGTTGGGTCTCATCAGCAGTGCGAATCCATCGACCCGACTGGGGATCTAACCCGGGACTTCATGGGCAGAACGCAAGGGTGCTACCCACTACGCCACCGGGCAGTTGATCAGACACACATGAAATAATTAGTCAGGTTGTGAATTTTTCCAACCGAGTCATAACCCCGGAGGCTAGTGCTCAGTTGAGCAGGGTCCTTGGTCCACAACAAACTTTCCAAGATGGTTTGCGCTATATTGTGTAAATGGAAAATGAAAAGCGGTCTGACCAGCTGCCCGGTAACGCAGTGGGTAACACGCTTGCGTTCTGCCCATGAAGTCCCAGGTTTGACCCCCAGTCGGGTCGATGGATTCGCACTGCTGATGAGACCCATCCAGGTGGAAACAGCCGTCCACTTCTTCCGAGCTTTTCAGTTTATGCTTCATTTGGTATATACACGACGAGTTCCCATTTGTTCAAATAGTTGTTTGGCACGTGGCCACGTGGCCTCGTAGCTCAGCTGGTAGAGCATGCGCGTACAAAGCGTAGGCGGTGTCCATGTGTGGGTTCGAATCCCACCGAGGCTACTGAACTTTTCACAATCGACATACAGAGTTCCCATTTGAAACTTATTATTGTGTTAGTATACAATGGTGTGTGTGAGAGCGGTTGGTTGTGCAACTAGCATCAAGCCAGTGAACCGATAATTAGGTCCTG